AGAGGAAAATTTATATCTATAAATACTTATATTATAAAAGGAGTAATATGTCAATTCAATATTCTTTACACCTTAAAGAATCAGAAAATGAAGAGCAATCTAACCCCAAAGTTAGCAGCAGTAAATAGTGAGGAATGGAGCAGAGATAAAACCAAATATAGAATAGAAAACAATAGAAATAGTAAAAACAAAATTAGGAATTTGAGACGATTGACAAAATTAAGAAACTTTTAGCTAGACTGAACAAAGAGAGATAGGACACAAACTACTAATATCAGAAATTAAAGTGGGACATTACTACAGACCTAACAGAAACAAAGAATAATAATAGTACGAGGGATTGTGCACCAACAAATTAGAAACCTAGATGAAATGGAAAAACTCCTAGAAATACACAAACTACCAAAACTGACTCAAGAAGAAAATATTTTTTAAACTTGTATATACATAAAATATGTAAAGAGATTAATCAAAAAATAATCAACAAAGAAAAGCTCAGGACCAGATGGTTTCACAGGTAAATTCAATCAGAAGAATTAACATGAGTCCTTCTTAGAATCTTCCTAAAAGAGAGACAGACAGACAGGCAGGCAGACAGACAGAAAGAGAAGTGAGGAACACTTTCTCTAACCAATCCAAGTAGGCAAGAAAAAAAAAATAAAGGCATCCAAATTGGACAGAAAAAAGGTAACATTACCTCTGTTCACAGATAGTATGGTCTTACATGTAGAAAACTCTAAAGATTCCCCAAAAAAACCTATTGGAAGTGATAAATTAACTCAGCAAAATTGCAGGATACAAAATCAACACACAACAATTAGTTACATTTCTATATACTAACAATGAATAATAAGAAAACAGTTACATTTACAATATTATGAAAAAGAAAAATACTTAGTAATAAACTTCATCAAGGAGGTGAAAATCTTCTACACTGAAAGCTATAAAAACTGTTGCTAAAAACAACTAGATACAAATAAATGGAAATACAGCTCATGTTCATGGATTAGAAAAGTTAATATTAAGAATGTCATTACTATCCAAAGTAGTCTACAGATTTGATGCAAGCTCTATCAAAAGCACAATGATTTTTTTTGCATAAATAGAAAATTCCATCTTAAAATTCATATGAAATCTTAAGGGACCCCCAAATAGCCAAAATAATATTGAAAAAGAACAAAGTTGTAGGTGTCACTTACTTGTTTCTAACCTTACTACAAATAATCATTTGATTACATTTGATTACTACAGTAATCAAAACAGGATGTTACAGACACAAAGGCTAATGGAATAGAAGAGCCTACTAATAAATTCTTACATATATGGCAGATGATTTTTGAAAAGGATGTCAAGACCATTCAATGGAGAAAATATGGTCTTTTCGACAAATGGTAGTGGCAAAATTGGACATGCACATGCAAAATAATGAAGTTGGACTCAGACCTTACAACATATAAAAAAATTAGCTCAAATGGATTAAGTACCTACACCTAAAAAGCTATGAAACCTTTAGAAAAAAAACATGGGTGGGTTGCCTGGGTGGCTCAGTTGGTTTAGCATCTGCCTTCAACACAGGTCATGGTCCCAAGGACCCTGGGATGGAGCCCTGAGTTGGGCTCCCTGCTCAAGGGGGCATCTGCTTCTCCCTCTCCCTCTGCTCCCACCCCATTCATGCCCTCTCTCATGTGTGCTCTCTCATAAATAAATAAATAAATAAATAATCTTTAGAAAAAAACATAGGGAATAAGTTTCATGACATTGGAGCTGGAAATGATTTCTTGGATATAACATCAAAAGCAGAGGAAACAAAAGTAAAAGTAAATTGGGCTACATTAAAGTTTAAACTTCTGGACATTAAAAAACACAACCAACAGGGTGAAAAGACAACCTATGGAATGGGAGAAAATGTTCACAAATTATATACTCAATAAATGTCGTTTATCCAGAATATTTAAAGATTCTTCCCACTCAACAACAAAAAGACAACCCAACTAATAAATGGGCAAATGATTTGACTAGACATTTCTCTGAAGAATCTATGTGAATGGCCAACAAACACATGAAAAGATGACTGACATCATTAGTCAATAAAGAAATGTAAACTGATTACAAGAAATACCACTTCACATCCACTAAGAAGTCCAAAATGTACGTACATACAGAAAAGAGAGAAAAGGAAGGAAGGAATGGAACAGCTGTTAATGTGGATGTGAGAAACTCTGAATACTCATACATTGCTATTGTGAATGTAAAATGGTACAGCTGGTATAGAAAACAATTTTTCAGTTTCTTACAAAGCTAAACATAAAGTTGTCTTGTGACCTAGCAACTCTATTACTAGGTATATGCTCAAGTTGAAAACGTGTTCAAAAGTTATACACAGGGATCTCTGGGTGGTGCAGCGGTTTGGCGCCTGCCTTTGGCCCAGGGCGCGATCCTGGAGACCCAGGATCGAATCCCACATCGGGCTCCCAGTGCATGGAGCCTGCTTGTCCCTCTGCCTGTGTCTCTGCCTCTCTCTCCCTCTCTCTCTCTCCCTCTCTCTCTCTCTCTGTGACTATCATAAATAAATAAAAACTTTTTAAAAAGTTATATACAATTGTCCATAGGGCACTATTACCTATAGCCAAAAGATGCAATATCCATCAACAGATGAATGGATAAACCAAGGATGGTATGTCCATAAATGGAGTATTATCCAGCCAATAACAAAAAGTGCATCACTGATACATGCCACAGACAGCATGGATGAACCTTGAAAACATTATGCTAATTGAAAAACACCAGACACTAAAGACCACATATTTTTTGATACCATTTGTATGCAATATCCAGAAAGGAAAGAAACCTAATGAGGTGGAAAGTAGATTAATGGTTGCCAGAATCTGGGGATGAGGGAAGTAAGAAATTACTGCTTAATACATATGGGGTGTCCTTTTCGAGGTGATGAAAATATTCTGGAACTAGATAGTAGTGATGGCTGCCCAACACTGTGAATGTACTAAATACCACTGAATTGTACGCTATGAAATGTATACTTTAAAATGAAATTTTAGGGCACCTAGGTGGCTCAGTCATTTGAGCATCTGCCTTCAGCTCAGGTCATGATTCCAGGGTTCTGGAATGGAGCCCTACATTGGGGGGGGGGAGCAGTCCCTGCTCAGCAGGAAGTATGCTTCTCCCTCTACCCTTCCTGCCTGCTTGTGATCTCTCTTTCTTTCATGCTTTATCTCAAATAAATAAATAAATAAAAATCTTAAAAAAATAAAATGGAATTTTATGTTATGTGGATTTTATCTCAGTATAAATAACTGTCTCCTTCACACTATTTAGAAAGCTTGTAGGCCAACAGAAAGGCTGAATGGTTGGGAGTTTTGTAGGACTAAACTGGGTGGAATGATAGTAAGATTTAAATAAGAATTGCAAATTTCTAACACCTAAGACTACATCTTCATCATTTTTAATTGGTAAAAAAAAAAGGTGAGTCTTTGGGGCCTATTTCATAGCCATGATATTTATTTCCCTAATACCAAATACATCCCAATCTATCACCAATTGCCCACCCAAAATGTGTTTACTGGTTAATTGCATTCTAATCCTCAAAATGACATGTTTAGTACCAGATAGGGCATCCAGAGATGACATCTTATTCCAATCCAAAGCTTACTTGTTGAATAACCACAAGGTTTTCATCATATACTAGCAGTAACAACTCTGCCTCTGCTTTTCAAGCAGGTGCAGTATGCCACACAAAAGTTATATTCCCAAGGTCAGCCCCCAAATTAAAGTGCTTCCCCAATTTTTATTTATCAAAATAAAAAATAATTGTTTAGGGGCACCTAGGTGGCTCAGTGGTTGAGCCTTGGCTCAACCTTGCCTTTGGCTCAGGTGGTGATCCCAGGGTCCTGGGATTGAATCCCATATTGGGCTCCCTGCAGGGAGCCTGCTTCTCCCTCTGCCTATGTCTCTGCCTCTCTCTCTCTGACTCTCATGAATAAATAAATAAAATCTTCAAAATAATAATTGTTTAAACTTTATACTACTAACTAGAATAGTTAAATCTAAAATTCTAGTATCAAATCTTTTAAATGATTTAAGAAATTGGACTTGTAAAAGAAACTTTTAATTACTCATTATCCAGTACTTTTATATCAATCTTATAAAGTAGGTATTATTTCCTCTATTTCACAGAGGAAGAAACTTGGGTTAAGAGTGTCTGGTTTTTCAAAGTGGTTTTTTTAACTATTAAGTGGAAGAGATGAGGTTTAAATCCCAAAAATCTGATCACAGACCTTTCTCTTTTTCACCTCTGCCTACCTTTTGGCCCAGAGAGAAGAAAGTTTTCAAGTCTATGTTACTCTGGAAAATTGTTGGCATATCTTTTGCAAGATTAGCAAAGTGTGGTGCCAATGTTGGCAATAAGCTTCGTATCAGACTAAAAATTTCTGAAATAGTGAGACTACCCAAATTTCTACTCATTTGCAAAATTAGAATATACTGTCACAAGCAGTCTCATCCATCTTCCCTAAGAGTGCAACCTCTGAAAAATAAGTACAACTTAATAACAATCATCGTTAATCATCAACAGGGCCTGGCAGCAAAACATCACACATCTGTATATAACATCATATTATGGTATAATGGAGTAGAAAAGGCACAAATCTTGGAGCCCAGTGAACTGGGTTTGGAGCTTAGTTTTGCTACATACTAGTTAAGTGAGTATAACCATGGACAAAGTACTTAATCTTGCTAAATTTTCTTTTCTTTATTTATAAAACAATACTACCTATCACATGGACTTATGAAAATTAATATAAAAGCCAGATTACAATAATTAAGATAATTATGCCAAGAAAGTTATGAGCCAAATTGGTACCTGGACTCCAAGGCTAAATAACAAATATTTTCATCTAAATAGTTATTGTTTAAATGTTAAAATGTTTTTAACATATTCTGCAAACCTTGGAAAATAAAGTCTGGCCTCTCACTTCTGGTTCTAGTTCCACTTGTCCTATTCAGACAAGGAACGCTATGAAAATGAAGAGAGACCTGAGGTCCAGAAGCAGATGCTCGTCGATATGGCCAAAAAGCTACCGGTTTACACAAGAACTGGGAGTGGAGGTCAGTTCATCCAAAGTCACCTAGAGAAGCAGCAAGTCCTTTTGAGACTAGCAAGGATCTGAAAAAGTCTAAGTCATATATATCCACAGGCTCATCTGTATACTTAGCACTGGAGTCTACCACTAACATTTTACTATGTTACTTTATCACATATCTGTCTACAAACCCATTCCTCTATCCATCATCCATAAAGTCATCTTATTTATTCATACATTTCAAATTAAGCAGCAGATATCAGTACACATCTACCTTAATATTTTATCATTCTTTTCAGGGTGAAATTTGCATACAAAGACATATACAAATCTTAAGCGTGCCATTCAGTATTTTGACAAATGTACACATCTGTGTTACCAAAACTTCTATAAATATTACCACACTCCCAGAAAGGTCTCTCATGCTCCTTCCCAGTCAATCCCATCAACTACCACCAAGACAACTACTATTCTGATAGTTTTCCATCATAGATTAGTTTTACCTGCTCTAGAATTTTATATAATTGTAATCATACAGTATGTACTATTGTATATGGCTTCTTTTACTTAGCATGATATTTTTTGGGATTCATTCACATTGCTGTGTATTTTACTCCTTTTATTGCTAAGTAATATTTCATTGTGTGAATATAGCATAGTTTGTTTATCCATTCACCAGCTGATGCACATTTGGTGTTTCCAGTGCTTAGCTATCATGAGTAAATTTGCTATTAATATTCTTGTGCAAGTATTTGTGCAGAGATATGTCATCTTTCTTGGGTAAATATCCACTATGGAGTTTGACTATTAGTTTAAATCGATATTACTAGCTGAACCAATTCTCCGCCTTTCGAAATTTGAAAATCAAACCTCTTTTGACAAGTCATTATAATGCTTCTAATAAGGAAGATTGTGTCTCGAGGCTTTGAGAATTATACTGTTAGACATTTATGTTCATCTGTTTGTCATTTATTTATTCAGTAATCATTTGTTAAGATCCAATGTGGCAATTGGGGGAATTTTAATATGGTCTGGGTATTAGTTATTAGGGACTTTTTATTAATTTTGTTAAAGCATTGATGTCATGGTGGTCATGATTTTTTAATAGTCTTCATACATACTGAAATATGGTGAAAAGTAGACATGAAATATTTTCATGTAATTTCTCACAGTAGTAATTTCTTACAGTAGTAAACAGAATGATATGATAGAACAGATTGGTTACAAACTAAAGATATATGGGATGAATTGGACCCGAGATAAATTTTGTTTGATCTCTAAAGTATCTTTTAAAACTTTGCATTTGTTACTGATTTTTAACAATTAGAATATTTCCACATGAAATTCTATATTTCTGGCTTCTCTTGAAAATTCGGACTATGGCAGCATTCAATCTGCATTTTCACATGGCAAAAGTTTAGTTAGCTAAAGCTGAGTAGGATCCACTCTCTTTAAATAAGGCCTACATTCTCAAGTTCTCTCACAGTCTCCAACTGGCTGCTTCACTCATTTCTCATTATTCTCTGGACCCTTGAATCATTTGTTTGCAGCCCTATGATATAGAGAAGGATCCTATGAGGAAATATCATTTGATTTGAGACCTGAATAATAAAAAGTAACTAGCAGGAAGTAAAGAGCAGAGGGACTAACATCCCAGGCAGAAGGAACTGCAAGTACAATAGTCCCTTATACCGGAACAAGCTTGCAGTATTAGAATAGACAGATAGCCATGGAACTGGAGGATAAAAACTGGAGAGTGATACCAATTAAAACTGAAGAGAAAAGCAGAGGCCAGGTGATGCAGACCTTGGTAAGGAATTTGGATTTTAATCTAATGGCATTAGAAGTCCATTGAAGGTTTTAAGTAAAAATGATATAATCTGATTTACATTTTAACAGATCATCTGGCTATTCTGTAGAGAACATATTATGCGGAACATGAATGAAAGCAGAGTAAATAATAAGGCATCTATTGCAGCCATCCAAATGAGAGATAATGGTGGCTTAAACTGGGCAATGGCATTACTGTATCTTTAAAAACATCTGAATGAATTAAGCATGAATGTCCTTCTCCCTTTTTCCTTGACTCATCTATAACCATACTTTTGTCATCCTCCCCATTGCTAGACATAAACACAAACTGCTGAATTAGTGGTCCATTATGCTGAATCAGTTATGTGTGCTTAATATACACTTCAGATGAATTATTATGTTAGCTCAAAATATACATATTTTAGTTGTTTCACTTAATAATAATTACATTAAACAGTCATACTCATCAATGAACAGAGAAAAAATGAGAAGAAAAAGAAAATGCCTTTCATCTAAGGGAAATAAAGAAAAAAGGAAGGAGAGAAGGAAGAGGGAGAAATGTTATATATATATTATATGTATGAAATATATATATGTGCATACTGAAATATAGTGAAAAGTAGACAGAATGATATGATGGAACAGAGATTGGTTATAAACCAAAGGTATATGGTATGAATTGGAGACTTACAGAGTGAAGAGAACCCTGAATCAACTAAGGAATCAGGAAAACCATAGTGGTCACTGTCCTGCCGTTTACTTGCTATGTGATCTTGTGAAGTCACTTGATATGGCTCAAGTCTTTACTTCCTTTATTTGTGAAATGGTCAATTGAATTGATTATTTTCATATAGGAAAGTTGGAGTAAACAGAATTTAAATTATTTTCCCATAATTTTCCCAATTGTCAAGCAGTTGACAGTATAGTTTGTTTTATAATGCCAAATCTTATTATCAGATATCCAGATATGAAAACTTTCCCCTTTACCTTCATCCCCTAAAAGATGCCATCAAGACTAATCTAACAGGAGAAAAAAATACATACCACAATTCTCTTCTGTGAAATGCCTTTTTCTTGGTAATTTGAGATGACTTTGACTACTTGTAATCAGTGTATAACAAGTCATCCAGATAGGCTAACAAGATACATAGTGTCATACTGAGCCCTAACCAATGCTAACCATTTTATTTCTCCTATAGCTGTTAGATTCTGTGACAGGTGCCATTTGATCAAGCCGGATCGCTGCCACCACTGCTCTGTCTGTGCCATGTAAGTGACATCCATATTTCCCCTGGGCTGAACTTGGACAACAAAGTGATTGATCCTACCATGTGACCATGCCTAGATAAGAGCATTTCTTTTCAATCATAATGAGCACATGCCATACACCCTCTTGGAATGATGGTGATTCAAAGTATTCTAAAGATAGGAAAGGGATATAAAACCCCATTTTAAAAATAAATATTCAAGATACCCGAGTGGTTCAGTCAGTTGAGGATTTAAATCTTGATTTCAGCTCAGGTCATGATCTCAGGGTCCTGGGATGGAGCCAAACATCAGATTCCATGCTCAGAGGGGAGTCTACTTCTCCCCCCTTCCTTCTCCATTCCCTCTGCTTGTGTTCTCTCTTTCATATTCTCTCTTTCTCAAATAAATAAAGAAAATCTTTAAAAATAATAAAGTAATTAAAATAAAACTTTATTTTAGAAGTTTTAGATTTATAGAATTATTGTGATGATAGTTCTCATATGTTCTACATCCAGTTTCCCCTATTGTCAACATGTTGCATTAATATGATACATTTGTTACAGTTAATGAACCAACATCAATTCATTATTTTTAATTGAAGCCGATACTCTATTTAGATTTCCTCAGTTTTATTTAGTATTCTTTATCTTTTCCAAGATCCCATTCAGGATATCATATTACATTTCGTTGGCATGTCTTCTTAGGCTCTTTTAGCTCTGACAGTTTCTCAGACTTTACTTGTTTTTGATAACCATGACAGTTTTTAGGATTTTAGGACTAATGATCAGCTATTTTGTAGAATATCCCTCAGTTGGGATTTGTCTGACATTTTTCTCATGATTATACTTGGGTACTATGTTTTGGGTAGGAAGAGCTTAGAGGTAAAGTACCATTATTGTATCAATAGCACATACTATGAACATGACTTATCACTCCAATATTAACGTTGATCATCTAGCTGAGGTAGTGTTTGTCAGACTTCTGTAATGTAAATTTACTGTTCCTCCTCTGCTTCCTTTACTCTTTGGAAGGAAGTCACTATGTATAGCCCAAACTAAAGGAATGGAGGAAGCTATACTCCCCCTCCTTGAAGGCAGAGTATCTACATAAATTGTTTGGAATTCTTCTGCATGGGAGTTTATCTCTTCTCCTTTGTTTGCTTGTTTATTTGTTGATTATTCATATAACTATATAGGCATGGATATTCCTTTATACTGTGGGTTATACCTCAATATCACTTTATTTTCTTACTCGAATTACTCTAGCTTTGTAAAGTCACATCTTTATGTTAATAAATATAATCATCATGTTCTTCTTGGGTGTGTGTTCCACCCATATTTCTCTTACTCTTGATTCAGACGGATCTGTCAAAAGTTCAGAAATACCCAATGTGAAACAAATCACCAGAATAGTGATTAGTAGATTTTCTTGTTTTTTTTAAAGGTTTTATTATTATTTGAGAGAAAGAGAGCCAGAGAGAAAGAGCACAAGCAGAGGAGGAGCAGAGGGCAAGGCAGAAGAAGACTCCTGACTGAGCAGGGAGCCCAATGCAGGGCTCGATCCCAGGACTCCAGGATCATGACCTGAGCCGAAGGCAGACACTTGACTGACTGAGCCACCCAGGTGCCCATAATTAGCAAAATTTTATTGTGTACACACAAAAAAGACAGTTTGCAAACCAGGAGCACTCAAACCAAAGCATAAAATGAGGCTTGAGGTATATTGATATAAAATAGCTTATATAGTGAGAAAACAAGGGCTTTTTATTCTTCACAGTGATTAGTTAGAATATTTAGAATTTTCTTAAATGATAGAAACTTGGTCAGTGATTATATAAACCTTGGAAAACAGTTTAAATTTTACTAATGATTTCCAGAGTCATAAGCAAGAAATGACCCAGGTCAAGTCAGTCTTACAAAGTAAGCTAAATTAAGCTTTGTTTGTATGACTAAACTGGTTTTGTATGCTTGGGAAATTTTCAAAGGTGTTCTCCATTTGTTTTTTTTATTTTAAAAGATTGTAGCTATGTGTTGTTTTCTGTACTTTTATTAATCTGTATATTGAGCAAAATGGGGGAGATATCTTGACTTCTAGGCATGTAACTTGCTGCCAGCATAATCCTGTAAAGTGTTGTGATTGGCTTATCCTAGAAATAACTGAAGACAAAATAGTTTTGCAGTAGCTCATAGTGGAAATCTAGGAATGCGTGTGCTGGTACCATGTAAAAATACTGAGATTTGAGTTCAGTTATGAAGTGTTACTTCATTTCCGTAGCTCCACTTACCACATTGTATTTTGTTTATTTTGTAGGTGTGTATTAAAAATGGACCATCACTGCCCTTGGTATGTCCTTCTGATTCATTTCTTTACTCTGAAAGGGTCAAAATTGCTCAAAATACCTACCTTCCTAAGCATAGTTGTAATGTGTGTGTTTCTACAACTATAAATCACTGGGTTTTGTATGTACATGGGGGACAGGGGAGGCATAACATTTTAAAGCAAAAATAAATATACCACCAAAGGTATGGTAGTGAATTCTTGGGCTCTCAAACTTAGCTGGGTGTAGTAATGAAATCAAGCACAAATAGTTTTCTTCTTTGACATTATAAAATTCAGTTCTATTTTTAGTTGTCTTGATGCTTGAAATATTCTAGATTGTTAATTTCAGGAATTCTTCTCCAAATTCCATAGGTCTGACTTAGGGAATCCATCTGAAACCATGTAACTACAAAGAGAACATGCCACACTATACTAAGTATAGCTGTTGAAATTGTAATAGATTTTCAGCATCCAAGATTCAGGTTTCCTTGGGTGGGTCAGAAACCAGTCCAGAACTATTAAGTAGGCCAGGTGTCTCTATGCCTGTAAATGAAAGGAAAAACAAGTGAGACATGAACTTGTTCTTCCAATCTGTTCCTATTAAGGGACTTCTATTTCTTTTGAGTTTCTACACAACACATAATGAAGTAGCAGGAGTAACATACTTCATTGCTTTGTTCACTTATGTATCAGTGTGTTTTCAATCAATGGATCTTGATTTCAAATTAGTTTTCCTTTTTTTTCTTTTTTTAGGGTTAATAATTGCATTGGATTTTCCAACTACAAATTCTTTCTTCAGTTCTTAGCTTATTCTGTTCTCTACTGCCTGTATATTGCTACAACAGTCTTCAACTATTTCATCAAATACTGGAGAGTAAGTCATCACCAGAACAAATACATACCTACTCCAATCTGTGATATTTTTCAACTTTTTTTTTTTACATTTTGAAATAGCTAATACTAAAGTAACCAGAAAGGAAGGCACCAAAAACAAATTTCCCATATTGACTATTCTGAGATTTAGGAATTTGTTATTTAAGGATTCCACTTAAACAAATTTATGTCATACATGAGAATCTTGTTAAGACCCTTAAGAACCTAGTCTCTTGACTCTTAGTGATTCTTTATAATGTACTTATCTAGTCAAGTTTAAAAATCCACTTCTTTCCAATTATAGATTTCTAAAATGTTGAAAGTAATTTTGAATCTCTAGTTTCCTAAGAAAAATGCTAGCAAAAGACTTTCTCATTTCCTGTTCAAAAGAGAAATGCAAATTTTCTACTGAACACAAAGATTAATTGACTCATCTTCGCATATGACCAAAATGAAATGAGTCTTATTGAACTTTGTATGACAAACACTGGGTTGAGAATTAGGAAACCTAAGTTCTAATGCTGGCTCTGTTACCTGCTTCACTGACTCACTGCCAAGATCAGATAAAACATATGTTAAAAGTATTTTACCTTTCAACATACGATTTTGATGATTATAGTGAAATCTAAAAAATAATTTCATATTTCTTCTACTTGAAGATTTCAACTATACCCTATTTCCAAAAGAGTTGAAGGCAGATTTTTACTTTACATATGTGTATGGAGTCTGGCAGCAGTATAGTAATTTTTTTATTTCATACAAATGGACTTCAGAAGATATCCCTTCCCACAATTCCAGTACAGTAGTTAAAATATCATAATCTTCCATGATGAGGGTTCCAAACTGAAAATAAGTGGCAAAAGACAGATATGGGCAGAGCTATTAGTTATTACTGTAGGAATTATATAAGAGCCCATATAACAGGAATATCTCACCTCAGGTGAAAAGGTAAAGCAGCAGGGAAAGAATGTGAATCCTGTGACCAAAATAAAGATTATAATAAACTGGAGAACAAAGAAGAAAGACAGGCAGTGAGAACCTAAATACCTGAGAGTAGTTAAATTATTTAGTGCTTTTATCCCTACTAGTGTAGAAAATACAGTATAGAAAATTATAGTGATGTGCTTTCCATTCCCCCAACTTGCTTAATTGATTCAGATATTTAATAACTTTAAGAATCAGGAATTATATAATGTATACCAAAATATCAACTCAGAGATACAAAAGTATAAGCAGAAATAAAATTTTCTCTTAAATTTTCCCCAAATACAAAATGTTTCATTATCTTCCATCTCTTCTATGACTCCTTTCCACATCACAGGATCTCTTATCTATTGCTCAGGTTTTTATGACCTGTTTGGCATCCCATTCACATACTGAGCTACTACCTGAATATAAAGAAAATCTATTACATCCAATTCAACAGGGAAAGTGTCAGCCTTGGTCTTCACTACAGATCTTACTTGGTCTTCACTACAGACCTTACTTGGTCTTCAATACATAGGCTGCTGCTATTTAAGAACTCTTTATGGAGTAAACAATGTTGCATTTTACACATTTTGCCTTGGCCCTCTAAGTCAGTCAAAGCATCAACTACCACAATGCTATCCAGGTTCTGTATGCACTTTTTATTATTGAAAGATTATATTTGGATATGAATTAATTACTAGAAATATGCCAGTATTCACAAGCACAAGAATATAGCCTCGTACTTTTTCTATACCCTCATTTTTTCTCTACAATAGACTAGCTCATGCCTGACAGATGGGACATAAGAAAACCTATCTTGGCTTGCCTTCATAATGAAAAGGACATTGACTATTCAGAGAAGTGCTTCTTTGCAGTCTCTCTAACCTGAAAGCACTTTGGGGTGGTTTAGAGAAGGCTTTCTCAGTTTAAATTGAGTCTCACCTTAAAATAAAAAGTAAATACTGCCATGTATTTTAAAAACCATGTGTCAAGGAGACTAGTGGTTCTCCTAAGAACAGCAACCCCCATTTACCATTTTCAAAGTACTTTCATATCTATTATCTCATCTTCTCACCATAGCCTTATAAAGTACACAGAACAGGAGGAATTGTTAGTCTCATTTAAAAATTATAAAGTTGAGGCCCACTGGAAGCTGTCTGACCCTAAACCCAGAGATCTTAAACACTATGCCATACCCTATTGCTATTATGGTCCTGCTATGGAAAAGCTATAGCTCCTTTGAAATAAAGAATTCAGAAAACTATCATCAAAGAATGTTTTTTCTCTATATATTAGCTTAAAGAGTAGCATCTTCGATAGGAAATTTATCTTTGCCTTATTAAAAAAAGTAGTAATATACCCCTTCCGCACTGGGGCATGAATCTCCCCACAGACACTGTGAATTATTTTAGAGCCAAAATAGTAGTATTATTCTACCAAATTCCCCTGAACTGTTTCTGGTGATTATTGCTTTGAGTAATTTAGCTTAGTTATCTCCTGGGAAGGTAATTTTGAACATAGGGCTGTCAACCTCTTCTAACAAGAAAGGACTTTATCAAGGGATATCCTTTGGCATATAAAAGATAGTTCTGCAAGAGTAATTAAGGGAGGAAAAGACTTCCAGCTTAACTACCCAGAGTGTGAACTTTCTATCAGTCCCTCTTGCCCAGACATTTCCTATTGCCCACTTAAACATGAAAAGTAAGAAGTAAAATAAATGTAAGCTTTAAAAGCTTTAACAAACATACTCAAAGAGTAGAGATTATGAAAGCAAAAACCTAGTTGGGCTAAAACCACTACAAAACAATGTATAAAATATTTCCTATAAACTCAGAACAAAACAAACATAAACTAATCAAATTCAGTTTGGGTGCTTAGGCCAAGATTTTGTGGAGGGATCATTTCAGAAAGGAGCTTCAGATAAAGGTTTCTGAAGGTTGAAGTCCCTGAGGTAACTATTTCCTGGGGCGCTCTGCCCCCATGCAAACTTTACCCAGACCACCCCTCAGCTGAAAACATCTGACTGACTGATTTCCCTTTATCTTCATCCTTCAAACATATATACTCTGAAAGATCCCCAATATTTCCTTACATCAAAATAAATAAAAATCTTCTTAAAAAAGAAATCTGTGCTATTTGAATTTTCCAAGTGTTTTCAAGTCTTAATTTTTTCCTTCCAAATTGAAGTAGAACAAGATACTAATGTTAAGGTCCACTTCAATCAAGAATCACTTTTAATTTTATTACTCAAGAGTATTTGGAAATACTTTAATACAATTCATTATGCCAAAACAATTATCAGCACAGGAAAGGGGGAAATAAAAAAACTTCTCTCAACTGCTTACTCCAGAATTGAAATTGTTTTCTAATGTTCTCTTCAGAAGATAAAATGTTACACATTGTGCATGCTGTTTTAAGGCTGCATGTAAAAAAGAAAGCTGATTCCACATGGAAAATAAGATGTCCCAGATAATTATAAAAGTCTTTAGCTACCTACTTTTACAATTGCCTGTCAAATCCTGCTTGAATTTACTGTCCAATGAGCTATTTTTCACAGGATGTGATATACCAGGACATTCTACTTCAACTATAAAAAACAACCACACAAAATTTTCAGTAGCTTTAACGTCAGGTTATAACTTATAGGTAGAGCATTTTAAAAATCTACCTGTGTGTTTTAACTTCCTACATGTATCATTGTGATGTTTTCAACACATATATGTCCAAGGAATAATGATATATAAAGTATTTCAGAAAAACCAACTTGAGACAGGAGGATGAACCATATGACCTCAAGATCACCTTTGGCCAGTGATTCATAATTTGCAAACTAAATGGAGTAGCTTTAAGAGGTCACATACCAATTATGGCCTGAATATACCCTTTTTACACTACCCTTTTCTAATTGCTGCAGTATATACTCGATTTTACACTGAACTTAATCAGGGATCCATTTTAGGCTTTGTAGGCTGAAAATATATCCATAATGAGGTATGGTCATCAACAGAACTGTTTTTTAAAACTTCTATAAAATTTATATTTTAATTATAGCTATACATTTTATACATGTGAGAAAAATGATAACATATAGAAAAACTAGCCAATCCTTATCACTTTATTTCCTTATCCTTTCCTTATCCTTATCCTTTGTTTCTATTTGTTTATTATTTCTTTTCTAGGGGGAATTGCCCAGTGTCCGCTCAAAGTTCCATGTTCTTTTCCTCCTCTTTGTGGCCTGCATGTTTTTTGTCAGCCTTGTGATTCTCTTTGGTTACCATTGTTGGCTTGTCAGCAGAAACAAAACCACCTTAGGTAAGAATGGCTGTTAAGACTAGGGAAAAACACATTAATGTATATCATAGTGACCTATGGATTATTCCCAAGGAAGAGAAAAAGTTCCAGTGAAGCATTTTATTTGTAGTGACATTCCTTTGCCTCCAAACTGAGACAGGTATAAACGCATTTAACCAAACTGGGAGAGCCATAGTGAATGAAGAAAGCATTATTGAATGAAACCTCACACAAAACCAAAATGGACCATTGCTCTTTATAGCTCACATTGGATAATAGGTCCCCAAACTTATGGCTTGAAAAATTTCTTAATGTGTTCACATGAGGAAGTGAAGGTAAAAATCACTACAGAAGGGAATATCAGAAGGTGGAGGTGAAGGTTAATAAAGATAGAAGAATTGAAATTATTGAGGGCATCCAAAGACAGAGTGCTGAGAATCTAAACCAACAAATCATTGGATATCTACAATCATCAAATACCTGTGGAGGGCCTGGGAGCATGATAAATACACTGAATAAGCAAGTTTCTAGAAAATGAGTACAAGTGAACATTTTTTCTGTTACTCTATACTCCAGGCTATTATTTGGAGAATTATATTTCTGATTAATTCAAGTGCAACAATTTTATTTCATATTTCACTATAGATGTATATTTCACTATAGTATACAAATAAATGCATAAGGAATGAGGAGAAAGTGTCCAAGTGTTGAATGTTTAGCTAAGATAGATTGAGGAAAGTTTAGTACAAAAGCCACTATACATTTGGAACACATTTACTTATAATGCTAATATCTAAAAAAGTATTTACACTCCTTTTCTAAACCAAATATCTGTAGTACTTAGTTGCTAGGGTGGTAGATCACCACATTTGGCTTAGACATAACTGCAAAGTAGAGAAGCACGAAAAACTTCACAATAATGGAATCTGAAAACAAAGAAAAAAATGGGAAATGGCCAGATGCAGCTGGCCCAACAGTGAAAGTGTTTGCTTAATGGGATAAATATGTGCCTAAAAATAAGGTGTACTCAGATGGTCCAATTCCTCAGCCTTTGGGGTGATTATAGTTCATCTGTTGACATTTTTTTCTGGAGTAAAACTCTATTTCTTACATTGCAGGTTTCAGTGCAAACATCTTCATTTCTGAAATGTTTCAAAACCACATCAATGTCATAACCATCTCTTCATCATTACTTTAGTCTCAACTCTAAAGATCGAGACCATTTGGCTGCTATTGCCACTTACATTCAAATAAAGCACTGTTAAATTTGTTCTTTTACTCCTTACATGCAGCACAAAATATAATTCCCTCATGGCTGCTTAATTATTTCTGCCACTATGTGCTTCTTCTGCCTTTAAAAAAAGAGTACCAATTCTTTGCATTAATAACAAAATTACTTTATATTAAGTGATTAGACTGTTTTTTACTAAGTAACAATATCTAAGGATGAGAAGCCTATGCTACCACAACAAAAATATACTATAACATCAAGTCACATTCATGGAGAACTATAAAATCATGATAGTCCTGAAATTTGTTCCTTTTCCCTCTTTTCTTCAACTCCCCTATTCTGCCCTAGAGGCCTTCTGTACTCCAGTGTTTACAAGTGGCCCAGAGAAAAATGGGTTCAACCTTGGCTTCATCAAAAATATCCAGCAGGTGTTTGGAGATAACAAGAAGTTCTGGTTAATACCTATTGGTTCCAGGTAGGTAATTATTACCACTGAAAGACGTTGATGCCAGACCATGACTTGAAGTAGCAAATTCAATTTTAATTGTTTGTAACAAGTAACAGTCCAATGAAAAACTCTATTTCCCAAGTTTTTTTATTTCTAGGTTAATAAAGACAAATTAGACATGAGGGTATGATAAATGGACATTCTCATGCTTTATGGCAATGTAAACTGGTACCACTCTTTTACAAATGAATTTGGTAATATGTATCAAAAATTGTAAGAATCCGCATGTCCATTGTTTAGAATTCCACTTCTAAAAATCTATCCTAAAGACAAACTAGGCACAGAAATGTGCATTACAAGATAATTGCCCCCAGAATCTGCACTCCTAGAGATACCTCACTCTGGCTGTTTTGCACAGTTCCCAATAACCTTTCTGCCATTCAAGCCAAATAACAGAGCATCCAGACATTAATATCTATCACCAATTCATAGCAACTTATCTCCAATATATCAGTGATTATTTTTGTTGAAAACAATCTGAATCTGCTAATTTTTGTTGAAAATTTAGAACCAAAGCAATAAAATAATTGTATATAAATTAAGATGATCATCAGTAAATAATATTTATGAAGCCTACCATGTGTGCATATTACCATAATGGGCACTATGGGAAACAAGTTAAAGAGTTGCTTACAAACCAGAACAGTTGACACTGATGCAGATATAGACACTGAGAGCAATACAGCAACTAAATGATGCTATTGTAAAATCTTATTCCACCATGGCTTTAGTGAATAAGCTAAATGGTTTAAATCTTTCTAAGAACCCCCTCCTATTTCTAAGAGGGCTATTACCTTCATAAAAAGTCTATGTCCGCTGCAAGAGCTCACTGCCTTCCTTTACCCAACAGCCCTGGTGATGGACACTCCTTCCCTATGAGGTCTATGAATGAGTCACAGAACCCACTGCTAGCAAATGAAGAGCCTTGGGAAGACAATGAAGATGAAAACCGAGGTAAGAAGGCTCAAAAGGAAGTCTGCTCTCCACCCAGCAGAGCAAGCACTAATAAAGACCATGTTAATACAACCGATGTAGTGTAGTGAGAAAATAGTGTCCAGAAAGATTATATAATCATGTCAACCTCCTAAGTGCCCTTTGAATAGAGAAGGGCAAGTATGGCCAGATTTGTGTAGCAAATATCGGTGGCTTAGGTTGGATTAGATGGCAACTTGGAAGGTTGCTTACGAAATTTGTGATACCATGATTTATAATTAGTCAGATAAGTCAGGACACATAATAAACTACTGTTTATATTTGTAAATAATCCAGCCAGTTGGCCATTCATGGTGCTTTGTTTGAGTTAATTTAATCAGTGGGCAGTAGCTCACCTTTCTCTACCCTAATTTATTAATGTTGGTTAAATTTTCTTTAAAATCCCATTCCCATTCTCTTTTAAAATGGTTTAAATACACAAAGAAATATAGTATGTGTAGGCAAGCCTACACCTGCATGTAGTCTACTTTTCTAAAAGGCAGAGCAGCAAAGGAAAAATGAGGAAGCAGAACTTTGTCCTTCCACCGTTCTCCCACTAGATTTTTGGATTATAATGAGATTTGTGGTGTGTGCGTGTGTGTGTGTGAAAAGGTGAAAGTTAAGTTCTCATGTCACATACCCCTACCATCACCTGTTCTTTGTCTCCACGTGACGTTATGCTTACAAGTGTGCCTCCACCATTTGTTTATGTTTCTAATACCAGGCATCAGAGTGTAATTTTTACCAACTGATCCCAATAATACAATAGCTGATAAAAATTTTGAGTGAGAAATTGTAGTGCTTGTCAAAAACTACCTAGAGTGAATAAGGCTGATGAGGACATTAAAAAAAGCATTGAGATGAGGAACACAGATGGGAAACATAGCTTTATAAATGTTTACCCAGTTAGATTATCTAGGCCTAGCATTTCTATTTGGAAGTCCAGTTTTAGAGTAAGATGGGTTGTTAGGACTAAGCAAGATAAAACCTTCCAAAATTCAGTTACAAAGGGAAAGAGTTCTTGCCCAGGTGACTGAGCACCTCCCTATTGACTCCTGCTGACCCTTTATTGAAAAACTGTATTTTGACCTACTTTCCATCAGCTATCACTCTTTCAATTTTTTTCTTTTTCAAGTTTTTATTTAAATTCTGATTAGTTAATATACAGTGTAATATTAATTTCAGGTATAAAATTTAGTGATTTAACACTTAATAAAACTCAGGGCGCTACCACAACATGTGTGCACCTTAATCTCCATCACCTAATTAACCCATCCCCAAACACCTCCCCTCTGATAACCATCAGTTTGTTCCCAGATAGTGAAAAGTTGATTTCTTGGTTTTCTTCTCTTTTTCCCCATGTTTGTTTTGTTTCTTAAATTCTACATATAAGGAAAATCATATGGTATCTGTCTTTCTCTGACTTATTTCATTTAGTATAGTACTGTCTAGCTCCATCCATGTCCTTGCAAATGGCAAGATTTCATTCCTTTATATGGCTATTATTCCATTGTATATACATACCACATCTTCTTTATCCAATCATCAGTCAATGGGCATTGGGGCTCTTTCCATAATTTGACTCCTGTAGATAATGCTGCTATAAACATCAGGGTGTATTTATCCCTTCAAATTAGTATTTTTAAATCCTTTGGGTTATTACCTAGTAGTGCAATTGCTGGACTGTAGGGTAGTTCTATTCTTAATTTTTTGAGGAACGTCCATACTGTTTTCCAGAGTGGGTGCACCAGTTTGCATTCTCACCAACAGTATAAAAGAGTTCCATTCTCTACATCCTCACGAACATCTGTTGTTTCCTGTGTTGTTCATTTTGGCCATTCTGACAGGTATGAGGTGATAATCTCATGTAGTCTTGATTTTTATTTCCCTAATGGTCAGTGATGTTGGGAATCTTTTCCTATGTCTGTTAGCCATCTTTTTTTTTAATTATTTTTTATTTATGATAGTCACACAGAGAGAGAGAGAGGCAGAGACACAGGCAGAGGGAGAAGCAGGCTCCATGCACCGGAAGCCCGACGTGGGATTCGATCCCGGGTCTCCAGGATCGCGCCCTGGCCAAAGGCAGGCGCCAAACCGCTGCGCCACCCAGGGATCCCCCATCTGTCTTTTTGAAAAAATGTCTATGCATGTCTTCTGCCCATTTATTTTATTTTTTTATTTTTATTTTTTATTGGTGTTCAATTTGCCAACATACAGAATAACACCCAGTGCTCATCCCATCAAGTGCCCCCCTCAGTGCCCGTGACCATTTCTTAACTGGATTATTTGTTCTTTGGGTGTTGAGTTTGATAAGTTCTTCATATATTTTAGATACTAACCCTTTATCAAGTATATTGTTTGCAAATATATTTTCCATCTCATAGATTGCCTTTTAATTTTGAGGATTGTTCCCTTCAATGTGCAGAAGTATTTTATTTTGATAAAGTCCTAATAGCTGATTTTTGCTTTTGTTTCCCTTCCCTCAGGAGACATATCTAGAAAGAAGTTGCTTCAGCTGATGTCAAAGAGGTTACTGCCTATGTTCTCCTCTAGGATTTTAATGGTTTCCTGTCTCACATTTAGGTCATTAATCCATTTTGAATTTATTTTTGTGTATGGTGTAAGAAAGTGATCCACTTTCATTCTTTTGCATGTTGCTGTCCCATTTTTCCAACACTCTTTGTTGAAGAGACTATCTTTCCCATTGGATATTCTTTCCTGCTTTGTCGAAGATTAGTTGACTATATAGTTATAGGTTCATTTCTGGATTTTCTATTCTGTTCCATTGATCTATGTGTCTATTTTTAAAAGATTTAATTTATTCATTCACAAGAGACAGAGAGAGAGCAGAGACACAGGCAGAGAGAGAGAAGTAGGCTCCTCACAGGGACCCGATGTGGGACTTGATCCTGGACTCTGGGATCACACCCTGGGCCAAGGACAGACACTCAACCGCTGAGACAACCAGGCATCCCTATGTGTCTATTTTTTGTGCCAGTAATATACTATTTTGATCACTACACCTTTGTAATGTAACTTGAAGTCCAGAATTATGATGCTTCCTGCTTTTCTTTGCTTTTTCAGTTTTGTGTTGGCTATTCAGTGTCTTTTGTGATTCCATACAAATTGTAGGATTGCTTCTTCTAGCTCTGTGAAAACTGCTGCTGGTGTAATTTTGCATTAAATGTGTAGATTGCTTTGCATAATAGAGACAATTTAACAATATTTGTTTTTCCAATCCATAATCATGGAATGTTTTTCCATTTCTTTGTGTCATCTTCAATTTCTTTCATCAGTGTTTCCTAGTTTTCAGAGTACAGGTCTTTCATCTCTTTGGATAGATTTATTCCTAGGTATCTTATGGATTTTGGTATAATTATAAATGAGATCAATTCCTTGATTTCTCTTTCTGCAGCTTCATTATTAATGTATGGAAATGCAACAGATTTCTCTACATTGATTTTGTATCCTGTGACTTTATGGAATTTGTGTATCAGTCCTAGAAATTTTTTGGTGGAGTTTCTCAGATTTTCTGTAGAGTAGCATTTCTTTTCATTTCTGTGGTATTTGTTTGTTATTTCTCCTCTCTCACTTGTGGTTTTATCTACTTGAGTCCTTCCTCTTCTTTTTGATAAGTCTAGGTAAGCGTTAATCAATTTTATTAATTATTTCAAAGAACCAAATCCTAGTTTCATTGATCTGTTCTATTGTTTTTTTAGTTTCTATATCATTTATTCTTTTTTTAAAGATTTTATTTATTTACTCATGTGAGACTCACAGAGAGAGTGAGGCAGAGACATAGGCAGAGGGAGAAGCAAGCTAACTGTGGGGAGCCTGTAGGCTCCCTCAATCCCAGGGCTGTAGGATCATGCCCTGAGCCAAAGGCAGACACTAACTGCTGAGCCACCGCTCTAATCTTTATCATTTCCCTTCTGCTGGCTTTAGGTTTCATTTGTTGTTATTTTTCTAGGTCCTTTAGGTGTAAGGTTAATTTATTGCTTTGAGATTTTTCTTGCTTCTTAAGGCAGGCCTGTATTGCTATATAGTTCCCTTTTAGGACCACTTTTGTTTCATCCCAAAGGTCTTGTTTCATTTATTATGTTGAGATATAGTCCCTCTAAGTCTACATTTTTGAAGGTTTTTTTTAACATGAACGGATGTTGTGCTTTTTTAAAAAAAAGATTTTATTTATTTATTCATGAGAGAGAAAGAGAGAGGCAGAGATACAGGCAGAGGGAGAAGCAGTCTCCATGCAGGGAGCCTGATGTGAGACTCGATCCCGGGACTCCAGGATCACGCCCTGGGCTGAAGGCAGGCACTAAACCACCGAGCCACCCAGGGATTCCCAATGTTGTGCTTTTTAAAGTGCCTTTTCTGCATCTTTTGAAATGATCATATGGTTTTTATCCTTTCTTTTATTAATGTGATGTGTCATGTTGATTGGTTTTCCAATAATGAACCAACCTTGCAGCTCAGTAGTAAATTCCACTTAAATGATTCTTTTAATATACTGTTGGTTCTGATTTCCTAGTATTTTATTGAGAATTTTTGCATCCATGTTCATCAGGGATATCAGCCTTTAGTTCTCTTTTTTTAGTGAAGTCTTTCTCTGGTGTGGGTATCAGGGTAATACAACTCCATGTATTTGTGGTCTTTCCAAATTTTTTCTTGTGATTGACTTCAAGTTTCATACTGTTGTGGTCAGAAAAGAAAGATGCATGGTGTTATCTCAATCTTTTTGTATTTGTTGAGGCCTCATTTGTGATATAATATGTGATCTATTCTGGAGAATTCCCATGTGCACTTTAAAGATTGATTGATTGATTGATTGATTGATTATGAGAGAAAGTGAGTACAGGGGTGAGGGAAGGCCAGAGGGAGTGTAGAGAGAGAATCTCAAGCAGACTCCTCACTGAGCACAAAGCCTAATGCGGGGCTTGATCTCATGACTCTGAGATAATGACCTGAGCTAAAATCAAGAG